CATCATCATCATCATCATCATCACCCTCACTGGTCACTTCACGAATGCTTTTATCCTTCCGATTGATTAGAGTACAGGACCACACTGGTTGTGTAATTGGTTTAGGAACGCGACGACGAGCATTGGTTAGGACCAGATTATGTGAAAAATGGATATGCTTCACGTGTTATCGGGCTTTCATTGTGAAACAGCAATTGAATCTAGCTTTAGTGCCGTCTACAGGTCAGGTGTTTCGAATCCAGCACTTTAGACGTTGGGCCATCATCGTCGTCAACATTAACACCGTCATTCTCTGCTTTGTCTCTGGTTACTGTCAGTCGACAGCCTCCACCCGATCGATGAACGGAGAAAACACTACAAAATAATGAAAAGAATCGATCGGATAGATGTACGGGCTTCGCTCAATTCCTTGAAATGTACATTGAACTCGGGGTCACGGTTCTTCACTTCATGTTGGTAGCACATCCCCACCCCCGAGATGTGTTCATCACACCTACTTTCGAATCATGACTCAATAACCCGAACTGGTTTATGGCAGTCTTACGCGTGATGAACAACAAAAATGATCAATACAACTGGCCAGTCGACATCGTATGTTGCCTGCATTTCACCTGTCGGTGGAATGATGTTGTCATCATTTTGAATTAGGTGAATAGTATGATTCCGATCAATCAGCGACAGTCGGCCTCCTGTCCAATAATCAAAACTTACCACATCACGCTTTTTGAAGTCAAAACAAACATCACCACTACTACTACTACTAATAATAATAATAATGACCAATTTTACACCGGCTTGTTGCTAACGTAATATTAGTAACAATTCAGTGTAGATTTCTCACATCGGATGATCTTTACACACACCTTCAGTTGAGAGTTATACGTGACCCCAGGTAAAGTTTGATGTCAATACACTCGTTAGAGGACAAGCAGAATGGTAGAATTCGTAATCTGGTGCAACTCCCTCTCGCATTGGAGTGATTTGTGGTTGGCCTCGGGCGTCCAGAAGCTGCTCTACTGTCACCAGGGTCACACTGCCGAGTGATCTGCTGTGATCTGCCAATCCAAGTTCTTCTATATTTCTAATTCTAATAATCGTCACCTCACGCAATAGACGACGATCACGACCTGGACTCGTTTTTCGCCACATGCGTGACCAATAGTGACTGTTCTCCATGGGTGAGGTGGGGTTAACTAACATTCGCATCCCGTTGTGGTTTGTGATCTATGTTGGTCCATCTGACTCACACCTGGCTAATCTCTCGGATGTGTATGATGCAACATACAAAGCCACGTTTCATGGGCTTTTTGGTCTGATTTACTGAATTCGCACAGTTCGGTTGTGGAAAGTGATTTTCACCTGATTTCCTCCTAGCGTCGTCCCATTCATTATGAGGACAGGATTATATTGTTGTAGTCGAATGAAGTGCCCCAATACTGTGCATTCTAATTCCCAGCACCCTGGCAACGTACATATTAAACTGATTAGGAATTAAGGCCAATGCACATCATCATTTATCGTTCCAGTGGAGGTTGACAAACCGATTTTTTAGGTTCACTTTCCCACATGAATAAATTGCTCTCAACGGATTTTAGGCGGTTGTGAGATATGTGATACCCGGAGTTCGAATTCTAGCTGGCTGCTGTATACAGACAGCTTGTTAGCCCTGTTGAAATAGGAATCCGTTTCCGATGCTGCCAGAATGCACTATTCACTACATAAAATTGGTGTTGTGATGGAACAATAGACCTTAAGGATGATCAATCGAAAGCAGCTGACTGATTGTTGTATCCTTGCTTACAAGGAAAATAGTTTGTCCCGCCGAGGGAAGCTTCCACCTTTCTCGGTATGAATGTGAGGTTAATAAACAAATTGTAGCTCACCGCTTCACAATTCGATTGTCTCAGTATGGTTCACAGTACGCTCAGTTTCATTGTTTACAACCGTTAACCAAGAACTTGGGTGCACCGGTTTTCATTACTTCTCACGACTGTCCATTTGCATAAAAGAGCAGAAGGATGGATGGAGGAAATAGAGAATTCAAATGGACTATGATTGCAGGGATAATGAGTAGATGCACGAACGCCAATGTTTACCACACTCAGTTATGTCACTCAGTGTCTCTAACGACCGGTTGCCATGATCCCGGTGTCTCTATCCAGAAAGCCTAACGCGGCCTATATGACTGAGTCTCCTGGTTAAGGATTTCATACCTTAATGCCAGGACTGAGTTTGATCGCCCAACACCTAGGTCGGCAAACAGCACGCGCTGTGACAATCTATTTGGTGACATGCGCAGAATATGTCCCAACTAACATAGTCTGTGGAGGCTTATCACTTGCTCCAGTGAACGGCCATGATTACCTTAGACTCTCCTCCAAACCTCAGCATTGCTTGTCCGGTTTTTCCGCCACACTCGTGCAATACGGCGTAGACAGTGGTGCTCGAATGCCGACAGTCTGTTTTGTTTTCGTAGTGACCAAGTTTATGCACCGTATAACACAACTGGTCTAACTACTGCAACATGCAGTCGAGGCTGCACAGATGGTCAGATTCCGCGGTGGCACTAGATATGTTTCAAGTTGGCAAATGCCAATCGAGCCTTCTTTAGCACTAACGTTTACAAGTTGATAGCGTCGTTTCCGTTGTGAATATTACATCATCATTGTACAGCGTAATACAGTGAAGCGAACTTCACTGATCGCTGCCAAACTCATAATGCATACAAGGTAAGTGATAATGTGTAAGGAGGACAGGAATTGGACCAATTCTTAGGGACGAGAAAAGAAAGCGAACCTCTATGGTCAACACAGTAAACAGTCCAGCTATGCATACATACTATTTCAAGCA